ATCTTAAATAATTATACTATAATGCAAAATAAATTTTGCATTTTACTTTAAGCATAATCTTTAATCAATAATTTATTAAAATATTTGAATAAATCAACCAAAAATAAAATGTGTTTGAAAATTTTAAAAATTTTTTTGCTTGTAATTTACTGGAAAATGAAACGAAATAGATTTTCGGTAAGTTTTTGCTTAAGGTAATTATTTGATTTGAGATTTAAATATAAAAGTAAATATGCATTTTGTTATCTATTCAATATTTGCTAGAGCAGGTATTCCAAGCCAGACATCAAAAATTGAAATCTTGAAATAGTTCTAACTTATAACAAAAAGAGTACTTTCTAGGATTTAAAATACTAAACTATTGAATTGTAGACTAGACTATTGATTAGGCTATACACCAGACAATAGACTAGATTATGGACTAGACAAGACTATAGACTAAATTATATACTAAACTATAGACGACACTATAGACTAGACTATTGACTAGACTATGGACTAGACTATATACTAGACTATTTACCAGACTATATACTAGACCATAGACTAGACTATTGACTAGACTATTGACTAGACTATTGACTAGACTATTGACTAGACTATTGACTAGACTATTGACTAGACTATTGTCTAGACTATTGACTAGACTATTGACTAGACTATTGACTAGACTATAGACTAGAATATAGACCACACTATAGACTATTGACCAGAATACAGACTAGAATATAGACTAGACTATAGATTAGACTAAAATATAGACTAAAATATAGACTAGGCTATAGACTAAACTATTATCTAGATTATATACTAAACTATGGATTAGACTATAGACTAAACTAGACTATAGATTAGACTATAGACTAGAATATAGACCACACTATAGACTAGATTATTGACCAGACTATAGACTAAACTATCCTATAAATTAGACTATAAACTCGAATATAGACAAGACTATAGACTAGATTACAGACTAGACTATGGACAAGACTATAGAATAAACCATTGACTAGGCTATAGACTAAACTATAGACTAGACTATAGACTAGACTATATACTAGACCATGTACTAGACTAAACTATTGACTAGACTATAGAATAAAGTATAGACTAGACTATAGACTTAACGAGACTATGGATTAGACTATATACTAGAATATAGACAAGACTATAGACTAAACTCTTGACTAGACTATAGACTAAACTCTTGACTAGACTATAGACTAGACTATATACTAGACTATTTACCAGACTATATACTAGACCATAGACTAAACTATTGACTAGACTATAGACTTAACTATATATTAGACTATAGACTAAACTAGACTATAGACTAGAATATATACCACACTATAGACTAGACTACTGACCAGAATATAGACTAGACCATAGACTAGACTATAGACTTAACTAGACTATAGATTAGACTAAAGCATAGACTATAGACTAAAATATTAACTAAACTATAGATTAGACTATAGACTAAACTAGACTATAGACTAAACTGTAGATTAGACTATAGGCTAGGCAAGACTAAACTATTGACTAGACAATACTATAGACAAGTCTATAGTCTAAACTATAGACTAGATTATAGGCTAGACAATTAACTATACTATAGACCTAATTATACTATAGATTAAACTGTAGACTAGACAAGTCTAGATTGTAAACTAGACTATAGACTAAACTATACACTGGACTATAGACTAGAGCATAGAATAGATTATAGACCATAGGCGAGACTACAGACTAGACTATTGCCTAGATTATGAAAAGTTTATAAGTTTGAAAAACTACCGAAAAAGTACTAAAATTGTGAATTTTCCATGCCTGATCTAAACTTTATTGGATTTAGGTTAAATTGGACAATTCTCAATAAATTCAAAGGAACCCAATAGAAATGTACACTTCAATATTGACCAATCTGTATTTTTAGAGAATGGCTAGAAGGGAACTCTGTAATTGTAAATCGTATAACGGAATTAACAATTTTATTGAGAACAAACCTTAATTGTTTTTGAATTATATTGTAGAAGAAAAATAAATAATAAAAAATAAAAAAGGCAATATAAATTCAACACTTACATTGTATATTATTTGCACTTGTGGTACTGAATTGTGATGATGATGACGGTGCTGTATTCCAGTTTATAAAATTATAAATTGTATGTTCGTTTCATTTGTATAAAAAAAAATTAGTCTTGACTCTTGATGCTATTTCAGGAAATGCAAAATTTCTTTAAAACTTTAAAGGCACACATGACATACAATCCACACTTTAGATTGAGAAGACAACTAAACCAAACGATTAGCAGTGAGATGAGCAAGATCACCTACTGATTTTTCCGATGAAGATTTTTTGCTTTTTGCTAAAGTTTTTGTGGGACCATCAAACCAACTCTCGCCAACTGTAAAATGTTGGAGAAATAAAGTTTTGTTTTTAATGTGAAACCAGAAAAAAATTAAAACGAAATTCTTTAAACAGAAATAGTTTATTTAGTTTGAACAACAAAAATAATATTTTGTTTGATTCTAAGAATTTTCTTAGTTTTTTTTTTTCATTTTCACTTTTAACAAAATAACCTTTAAAGATGTTTATATTAATGGAACACAAATTTATAGATGAATATAAAATAAAAACTATTCAATTTTTTATAAACTAGTGCCACCATTTAGAACATCTTTATGGGTTAGTAGAACTATATATGTGTGATTATTTTGAATTGTTTGCTTAAAATCTAAAGAAAAATTTACATCCATTAAGGAGCTTTACTTAAGTATGGATAAATGAACAATAAAGTAAAAAAAAAAGTAATAAAATTAACAAAGCAAGAGAATAAGAACTAAATGAAATTGAAATGGCTTTTAAAAGCTTTTAATAATTCTGCTTAATATTGTATTTGAAAATTATCCACATCGGCAGCTAAATATTGGGACAATTTCAATCAGAAGAGAGAAAAAAGATCAGAAAAATAACAAAGAGAAAATATTTTCAATTTATCATTATCAAAGTTATCTTAAAATATTTTTCACTTATTTGATAATAAAACGAAAAAATGCTTATAATTGCCAATTTTCAATTAATATTAGGATTGTAGGTTCCCAAAACTTTTTCATTTGTTAATTTTGTAACACATGGTGTTGTTATTATTGTTTGGTAGGTTTTTTTTTGTTTGTTTATCTTAGAGATGTTAAAAAAGTTTATTTACTTTTGTAGACTTTTTCAGTCATATCATCGAAGGCGGAATCTTGAATGTTCAACATCAAGCTGTCGGCCGAGAGGTAGACCTTGTTCTGTGAGTTGGCAATCTGTTGTGGGTGAGGAGAATTGGTTAATAAGTTGGCAGATCTTTAGGAAATTATATAGAAAACACTTACGGTTCTAGCTATGCTTTGAGCAGCGCGCAATTTACGCAATTTCAAGTAAGCTGGATTCTGTTTGACTGCAAGACCTAAGTAAACATATCAGTTATGGAAAAACCAAGGTGGGGAAATTTTGGAAATGTTCAATAGATTTTGTTGTTTTATATAGATATACTTTTGGAAGCAAATTTCAAGCCATTAATTGAGTTTATGTTAAATTTTTCCTTTAAAATAAGCAAATGTTAAATTGTTGAATTATTGGGAAACAAAATGAATTCAAGTCAAGTAGAGTCGAAGGGACTCTGTTTTCATATCACAAGATAAATTAACTAGCAATATAAAGGCTTCCAAAACTATATTCTATATAAAAATTATATCTTTAATCTTTGAATTTTCATCAAAGATCTAAAGTTTTATAACTTGTTTAGAAAAGGATATCATTTTAGCTGCCTCGGCTTCACCCTCAGCTTGTACAATCTTTTGTTGTTTTTCTTGCTTGGCACGTTCAACAAAGAACACAGCACGCTGGGCTTCTTGTTGAGCAACCTGTTTGGCTTCAACAGCAGCAGTATATTCTTTACCGAAACTCAATTCAGTTAAAGAAACATCATCCAAAATAATGTTGAAATCACGGGCACGTTCAACCAATTCTTTGCGAATCAAGAGAGAAACCTTTAAAATAAAAATGGAAATTAATAATGAAATACTTTTATGGATGCTCTACTACTTACTTGAGCACGTTGGGTAATCAATTGAGAAGCATTGAATTTGGCCACAACACTCTTAAGAACTTCATTGCAAATGGAGGGCAATACTTTCTCATCATAATCCAAACCCAAGTTACGATGTACGGAGGGTAAACGCATGGAGTCGGGGCGAGATAACACACGCAAGGAAATGTTAATCATTTGCAAATCCTTGGAACCAGTGGGTGAGGAGATTTTACGGGGACGAGAACGAATATCATAGATAATGGGATATTGGAACCATGGAATGCGGAAATGTAAACCTTCGGAATAAATATCATTTTGAATGCCACCCAATCTGCTGAAGATAATAGCACGATGACCACCATCAACTAAAAATATCATTAACAAAAAGAAAATTACAATTTTTGATGATAATTACTCCCAATAAAGTGCCAACAACAACAATGTATAAAGTGCGGCAGGTATGATTTTGAGTTATGCAACATCTAGACAAATCATAAATTTAAGAAAATCTTATAAAATCTCACTAACAACAAGAATTTTAGTTAAATTTTTAACAAAACATTATTATTATATTGATTGTCAACATTAGACTTATAATCAATGAAAGTGTAACATCACGTTTTTATTATGAAATTTGCCGACAATTGTACCATCATTGTCAATTATTTTTGTGATTTGAGGTTATGTTTCAACATTTTCTATGTTTTTCATCTTTACTTATCTTAAAACCACTAAAATTTATTGATTCACTTACCGGTATATAAAGATTGGTTTACACCATAGGCTAAGGCGCCCAAACCAGCCAAAACTTTCAAGCCAGTGGTCAAACCGGGTGGACCACCTTTGCCCAATTTACCAGCCAAATCGTTCAATTTACTTTGAGCCATTTTTCTAGAACAAAAAGAAATACGCAGTTTAAAACACAATTTCTTTTTATATTATTGTTTCTTCAGGCAATTACTTTTATAAAATTAAATGCTTTTAAATTCTTATTTAACACTAATTATAAAAAACAATATTAATTATCCCGGTATTAAGAAATCTAATTTTCATCAACCCACCGCACGACACAAAAAACTCAATTTCAGTTGAAGAGTTTTTTTTGCGCCGATAATATTATCGACGGCGGCGGCTGACACTAAACATATCGACGACGGCTTAAAATCGAATGTAAGCCGGCTAAGTACTAAAATACGCATAAATTTTAAATTTTCAAAGATTTTAAATAAAAACGGAATTGGTGAGATAAAAGAGTGGGATTTTGTATAAATAAAATAGAGCATGCACAAAAGTTGTGTGAGAAATTATGCAGGAATGGAAAAAATAATGATTAATTTTTAAAAACAAATCCTTTTAACAAGTTTTATGATGATAGGCCTATAATAAAATTTTAAATAATATAAATAACATTTTAATTTGTTTTTTGGTTTGCCAAACAGCAATGTATTTTTCGTATATCGTGTTTGCTACCAACCAAGGTAGCTACCAACACTTTTTTGTTTGAAGTAAAAACAGCGACTAAAAAATATTGCAGCATTGCCAGTTCGGAAATAATAACAATATATTGATTCACAATAATAATATGTAATGCTAACGACACAGGGTGCTACAAATAACATTATAGTTAAACAGGTTTCGGTTAATTTTAAAATTGAAGATAATTAAATAAATTTAAACAAGACATACATAACGTCACCTAAAACGCAAACGGCCCCAACATTTTTAAAATTTTACAAGAGAAGCAAAAAACTGTTTATATTGAAAATTTTGTTTCTATCAAAGTGAT